TTTCCAGGTGCAGAACTCCTTAGATGTAAGCCTAGAGCCAGTGTGCTAAGCAGAGTGAGACTCTGGGAGTCATGGTGTGAGGCAATGGGAAGGCCACCCTATAGGACTCTGGCAGCAAACCTATAGGCACATGAGAAAGAGACTGGAGGCTGAAATCTGGAGGTTTGGTTCACAGTAAAATAGTTCAGGTTAAAAATGCTAAATAAATAGAATGACTATGAATTTGGAGTAATGAATGGGCCACATATCAAAAACAAGGGTCAGTGTGTAGAAGGATAGAGGTGAGGGACAACTTCAACAACTTTTAAAGACTATTGGAATTTGAGAATTCATTCATTGCTTTCAGCAAACATCCTTGAGCCTGTGACTATAGTGGCACCAATTGCAAGTATGCACACGTGCTGATGTGTGTTTGACCACACAAAGTAACAGAAACCTTTCGTTTTGCCCATGATGGTGGGTGTGGGGATACTAGTAACTGATCTTTTGATTATTTAATTGTGCTAAAGGGAATCTTCAATGCATATATGTGATTGCTCCACTTAGAGGCTTTCAGCTAAGTCTAGGTTTGATTTTGGCTTCATGAAATAACTTTTCAATAAATATTTTTCTCTTGTATTTATAGCCAAGGACCACCCCCAAGAACATATTTTTTTCATTGTTTTCCCTAGGCAGAAATGAACACTCCCATGTTTCTCCTACTCCTGTCTGCATCTGCATGGCTGGGGAAGGTGCTGGCTTGGTGCTCTGGGCAGTAGTCCCAGCTCCACAATGTCTGCAAGAGTCTCATCCACTCCTGTTGAATATTCTTGGAGATGCTGTTATTGCACCAGGACTTATAGTCTGTGAAAGCCTGGTGAGACATCCCTGGGTTGGACATAGCGTAGGCATCTTCCCAACTTCAGAGCTAGTGGGCAACTCAGACAGCAACTTTTGTAGGTGAAGAAATGGAGGCCCAGAGAAATGACATGCAGAGCCAAGACTCAAGGGCACATGCTCACACCTCAGCTCCAGAGATATTAGAGGCCCCCTTGACTGCCTGGCACATGCTTCCCAGAGATTCATGATCAGATGAGGATGGATCTCCTTTAAGGCTTGGTAAATTTGTCTTTGCAGGCCAGGTTCTAGGATGGGCTGAAGCTGAACAGCTTCCATATCTGGCTTGAGGTGGTGACCTCAGCCCACATACTCACATACTGGTCTTCATACAGCACCTGCCCACTCAGCAGCTTGTCTAAGACAGAGTCCACCAAAGCCACTCAGGCCTCCAGCTGCTCTTAATGCAGGTCTAAAAAATGCAGCAAGCCTGGAGCATTTGGAGGTAAAGCTGAGGCTGGAATGAGCGAAACAAGGTTTCTATGATGGGCCCTACTTCTGATCCCTTACATGTCTATAGTTTCAATCACCTCACCTGCATCTTTGACTTCCTTCTTTCTTTGGAAAGGCATTTAACTCCCCCCCACCCATGGAAGCACGTAGTCTGATACTGCCTGAGTAGAGAGGAAGAGTCCATGATGGACCTTGAGGCAGTATATCTGGTCTAGGGCCCTCGTGGGCAGAGGCAAGGGCCATGAGGAGGATTCTTTGGTGAGGTTTGCAGTGAGAGTCTTCCCTTTCCTCCAAGACCAGGTAGAATGCCCCAGGAATGCCACTGTCACCTGTGACCTCTGACAACTGTTACTGACCTCTGGCAGATGGAAGTAATAGAGATGCTGTAGGTCTCAGGTCTCTTAAAGAAAACAGAGATGAAGACATGTGAGTTACAGTGCTGGTTATGAGTGTGTCTGACATGCCTTGAAACTTCCATCCACTTCTGAATTTCTTGGTTAAGAGACAAAGCTACAAATTCTGATACTCTGGAGTTTGGGCTAGAAATGATTTGCTTATATGTACGGGGAAATTGAAGCACAGAGCCTATGGTTATGACCATAGGCTGAACGAATAAAGGAGCCAGCTTGCAGATAAGTCATAACAATTTCTCGCAAATCTTCTAAAATGCACGTTTTTTCTCTCTTGTTCTGAACTGAATCATTGTGGAAAACTAACCAGAAGTCTCAAGAGATAACTGAAATTTTTCTACATCTTGTTGGGGAGCCAACATACATCTCACGGAAGAGCTAAGCTTCTGTGGACTTCAAAAGTACAGCTCTAGTTGCTGAAAAGAAAAATGAGAAGCTGCATTTCTAGTCACAGGAGACCATCCTGATGCATATGTCATGGCCTTGCTTGGCCTTATTTGGGCACTGATCCTCTTCCATAGTGACATCAGTCACCAACTTCACATCACAAATAAAAGCTCAGGAGGCTAAGGACATAGTGAGTCCCCCACAGATGAGCAGGCCTCATATTAAAACTAATGCTTATTTATCCTAAGTCACCAATTTTATTTCCATTTTCACCTGTATCCTTTGTCTTTCCACTGCTTATCTTCAAGTTCTCTTTTTGCCAGCCCAACATTTGTGGTTTCTAACATCAATATCCTGTTCCAATGAACAGAAAATTTATATTCAACTCCAAATAAAATCTAAGACAGACCTCTTTCCCCACATGCACGTCTCCATTTTCTTCAATTTCAGTAAGTAACAGTACTACCTATGGAGCAGTCATATTCCACATTTAGGTATCATGTTATCCCTTCCTTCTCTCTACTTGTACAGCCAAGTTAGGAAGATATATTTACCTCAAAGTAGATTTCAAGATATGTTACACAGAGTAATACTGCTTTTAGTTTGGGTATTTTCTTTCAGTTCTTGTGACTTTTTCAGTTTTTCTTCATCTCTTTTGCTACTGTCTTAGTCATGCCTCTGTGAACTTTTATCTGGGATATTATAATAATCTTTGATTTGTCTCTCTGCTTTCACTTTTCCTGCTGACCATCCATTCACCCAAACCCAGGAGCATCTTTATGACAGTAATTCAGGTACTGTATTACTGTATTTGAGATCCTTTGAGGGCTTGCCACTGATCTTGGAAAATTTCCCAACTCCTCATCATGGCCGTACTATGCTGTACTATGGGCCCAGGACAGCTCTGATTCTGCTTTGACTGTCTTTCGGGCTCTATCACATAGGCCTTCTTTCTGTCATTTGGTGGTATCAAGTTTGCAATCTCCTTGACGACCCTATATACATCTTTCTATCCTGCACATGCCTGAAGCAGTCTTGTCACTGAAGTCTCAACTCAAGTGGCATCTTGACAGAGATATCTTGTCTGATAATACAGCCTAAAAAAACCCAAGGTCATGGTGCAGTTTACATCACAGTGCTGGTGTGCTTGCTCACTGCTTATTAAATTATTTATGCAAATTCCATCAGCCAGAAAGCAATATTCCATGAGAAGGAGATTTCTGTGATGTCTACTGAATACCACTACTAATGCTTCTACCCAATATTGGGCTAATATTTGTTGAATAACTCAGTCATGTCACTCTTTCTCTTACCCTTATCAGCAATTGATGTGGGAGAAAAACACCAAAGCATTTATAATGGATCTGTGTTTCTCAAAAGAAAAACTCCACATCACTCACTGATGAGCACTGGACATAAGGCCCAACTGTAGACATTAACTATGATCATGAGGTGGGCAGTATCTGCCTGAAATGTCGTAAGAAGTCGCTTTGTGATTCTTCATCAATCTTTCCCATTCTTTTTATTACTATTTTTCATCTATATTTCTGTTTTGATATTTTCTAAAACACTAATGTGAGGTCTCTTATCTTCACTTTGTTGGTTTGACTCCTATAACTTCTTTTTATCACTTAATGCAAAAGGAAACTCTCATGCAGTTTTCTAGACTGGACTCTAGCTGACCATTGGGTCTCATCCTCCACCCTGTTTGCATATTAAAATCTAATTTTTTGTTACAGGAGTTTTCACTGTAGCAAATATTTTTTCTTGTACCTATTACTTAGTGTAAATCTGACAATTTGTAACTAGAAAGCAAAAAATAGACTATAATTCTTTCTTTAAAATTCTCAGTTGGCTTCTGTATTTTCTGCTCTGGCTCCCTTATTGAGACCTGTTATAAAGATAGTGATCCTTTTGGGTTTAGTAGCTGCCTATATTATTATTGTCACGTACCCTGTCCTGAGTCTTAAATGCTGCTGCAAAACCAGTCATCATGTCAGGTGAGTCAAAATTTTATCACACACTCATTTAAACCCCATCTCAAATACACACTACTATTCAACATATGTTTCTCTAACTGGAAGGAGCCAATACGGGCAATGCTGACATTCAGTTATCATGCATTAATGACCAGGGGCTCTATTTGTCTTATGCTGTCCAAAGGAGGAGCTACTGAGAAAGACCAGAAAGTATGCTCTTATTTCCAGAAATGGTTATCTCTGTCTATATCTAGTGTGTCTAGCTAGATTTAAGTGTCATTACAAACTGATTTGAGCTAAGACAGGTGTTCTTTATTGCACATACATAGGATGTGACCAGGCATATAGCAAAAAGGTCAACACACCCCATACTCACAGTCTAAAGGAATGATTATTGTAGCTTAGAAATTAAACCTCTATTCTTGCTTCAATCTGCTTTTTCTAGAGATAAGATCTTCTGTGTTTCCAAACAATAATAGAATTGTTCCAGCTCTCTCTCTCTCTCTCTCTCTCTCTCTCTCTCTCTCTCTCTCTCTTCTCTCTCTCCCTTTTTGATAATTTTGAGATAAGGTTTCAGTATGTAGTTCATCCTGGCCTTGATTTCACTATGTAGCCCAGGCTGGTCTTGAACTCCTTATCATCCTCCTGTTTCAGCCTCCTGAGTGTCAGGATTACAGGCATGTCCCACCAATCCCTGATATCCATGATTTCTGAGAATATCCAATCTAGAGCAGATCTGTGTCCTTACACCTTCCATGAAATTACCCAAATAAAACCTAAATCCTACAGTGGTTTTTTTCCACCACTCTTTTCCTCAGACAATCCAAAATTTCTCATTGTGTGGAATGCTGCAATGCGTGTCATAAATCCAACATATTTGACTATAGATATGTTGCAAGTACAATTTGACAAGAAACTATTGACACCATACACCAAACACTTCCAAATGAAATTCCATGATTCTTCCCATACTGATGTGATCTTTCCTCTCCCTAACTGCCTTTTCTCTACCTTTGAAGTATTCTTGATCACCTTTAAGACCCTTGCTTTCTCCCCAATTCAATTCATTTGAATTGAATTCATCCAGTCCCTAGGAATTACTTGAGGCCTGCCCCAGTTTTGTCTAGGCACGCCTTCTGACTGAGAGACTAGGCAGACATGCTGCTGCTCACCTGGGGCCTGATCTCCAGTGTCTCTCAACCAGACACAGTATAGCAGCTTCCCATGTGAAGGGAGCTGAGTGGAGGTGGCTTGTGTATTCTCACAAATTGAAACTTCTTTTCTTCATCATCTATGGGCTAAGGGACATAGAGAACAGTGGTTATGGGAGTTTTGTCCTTTGGAATCATATCTGAACAAGTTTGGATGATGTACCTGTATGGGTAAAGAGGCCTGCATCACCTCTATATCCCTCTCCCCTCATGTTCTGCCACACAAGATCCCTCACACTTGTACCCTGTTATGTGTGGGGTGGGAATAGGATCTCTTCAAGAGAAGGAAAAGTAATCAGGAAAAGCTACAGTTTGGGGTATGCTGTCATTGCATGCTTTTAACTACTGGCAAGAGGCTGCAAAAGCTTTTCTAGTGACCAGTGATGCAGCAGTGAATGCCTTTAAGAGAGATTTGGGTTGTCACAGGGGCCAGTCTCTAGATGACCACAGGGCACAATTCCTCATCAACACCAAGGTTTCTGTTTAAAGAGGCCAGTCCTTATTTCCAGTTGAGAATCTCTTGAGACAGTCCCTGGCTGTACTTTATGAGTTCCTTTGGATTTTCTGGTTCTTAGTGTTCACCTGCCGAATGGTGCAGTCACTGAGGATCAGGTAGAGGTGGAGTTTGATTTCCTCAGCATGGATGTGACAGTAGAACAGTGTGGTGGGGGTGATGGAGATGAAGTGCCAGGCAGCAGGGACTACTTTTAGGAGAACTCCTATGAGGGCGAAGGTGGGGTTTTCCAGGACTGTGTGACCTGGCTCCACACTGGTTGGCTTCTCTAGGAGCATCCCCTTCTCTTTAAAGTGGGCCACTTGGAACAGAGACCTGTCCACATCTTCTCCTGTGAAAGAACAGATTTGAAAGGTATGGATTTAGTGCTTCATTGAGTCAGGCTTGGCTGAAGCAGAAGGATCTCAGGTTTAGGCTGAGAGACATGGGAACACTGTGTGATGGTCTGAATGCTTGGGTCCACCCAATATTTATTTTGAAATCTCCCTGTGCTGGTTGTTATGTTTGAAGCTTTTGGGGATGTGGTAAATCATGGTGCTAGAGCTCTTATGAATGGGATTAATTCACATACAAAAGTGACCCAAAAGACCTCCCTGTTCCCTGGGAGGACACTGCTAGAAGGTGCTATCTGTGAGGAAGGAGACATTTGGCAAAAACTGAATGCAGCGTTACTATGGTCTTGGGCTTTTCAGTCACCAGAGTAGATAGAAATATTTGCTGTTTACAGGATATTCAGTGTATAGTATTTTATTATAGTAGACAAAATGGACTAAGATGTTCAGGACACACACATCTTTGGTTGGGGATCTTTCAGAGGCTGTGGGTATTACTCTCTCTAGGGTAGGACCACCATGGAAATCTTAATCGTTGAGCCAAACTCAGACTGAAACCCAGCTCTGATCCTAGAGCTGGGAAACATACTGGACTATGGTTGCCTGTGTTGCTGGGGATTCTCTCACTTTGCTGTGTTGAGTGATGCTTGCATTTTTCGTCCTAAACAAAGAAAAAGGGAGAACCAGTTGCACAGTGACAAAGAGGAGCCTACACTGGCCAAATATTTGGAAGCACTCAGGTTCTTCGTTTTGGGTAGAACCCACTGTGGGATATTTTAGGAGGCAAGCTGAGCTTTCCTCTCAGTAAGCAGCTACTTCCTGGTAGCTACATCACATGTGTGGGATCAAGATTTAACCATGTGGGTGCCACTGACCTTAACCTTGATCCTAGAGGACTGATACCCAGAGGAAGAGACAGCTCCATGTAATTCTGGAAGTAACAGTGTTTTTCAGAATCTGGTATCTCCATGGCAAGAGAGTTACAAAATGGCTGCATCTGTAGCAGAGACTTTTTATTTGACCTTGATCTCAGCATCATTGTCACATTGCTTTATTTTTCTCCTTTGACATTTTGCATATCCTTTGGTTATGTCTTTGACTCCTCAAGAATCTCTCAGTGTATTCCTTTTCTGTGTATCTTAACCAGAATTACAGTCTATGATTAATGCTCCAGATGGAAACACTGAAACCACAAAAGAGGGCTTATGGTATGAATGCTAGTAATGAAATGACATTGAACAAGAGACTAGGACTCCTGGGTCCATTCATGTATTTCTGGGAAATAACTGCCATGCAGTTCATTTCTGAGCAGGAAGGCATTCATCTCCCAGGCAAGGATGTTAGATGGCTTGGGTACCAATTAGAACACCACTAAGTGGTGTTAACTTTAGCAGGGGTCACAAAGAACATTAATTAAGTGTTCCCACTTATTAATTGCATTTTCGGGGGGAAATTATGTCAACATTATGTATGCCATTTGAAAAAATTAAAACCATTTGACCCATGAGCTCATAGGTCAAAACTAAAACTTTAGTAATCAAAAAGCATAACTACTATAACCATCATTCCATTTTCTGTTACTGTCATTCTCTGCAGCAACATATTTGCACATTTTCATCCTTGTTATGATAGCTTTGTCTCTTGTTTTTCTATGTCCATTTAAATCATGGCAAGCATCTGTCTGATTATTCTCACGATTGCTGTCTCTTGTTGTGGATACAGCATTCTGCTATTCAGCATCTGCCTCCATTTCATTGGTGTTTACTGTCAACTTTTCTCCATGATAATATTACTGAAATGTACATATTTCTACAGACAGCTTTTCTATATCTCTAGGATTATTACCTGTGAGTATGAAGTACCAAGAGACAAGAAAACAATGTCAATAAATATGACCTTTTCCCCTCCTCCCAAATTACATCTTTAAGATGTCGTACCTTTTGGCACTGCCATCGATAACACTAGGTGAATGGACTCAGGTGGACCTCCACAGCACTGGAAGGTCCTTAGTGAACCAGGTGATATACCAGAAACCCTGGGAGGAAAGTGCATTCTTCAGACACACAGGAAGCCACATCACTAGTGACAGATGCTGACAACCCAACAAGGTATGCGGCTCTTACAGATTCTCTGTGTCATTCTAATTTTGAGTGAATTCTGGAAGGTTCTGTGCCTCTTTAACTTCTTTCTAGTGCAATCATCTTTCCAAGGAATGGGAAGGTTCCAAGATATAAGAATTTATTTCCTAAGACTTGAAAGGTCTTGGGCTATCTAAGATGATTTAATCATGATTATGATCCACAATTGCCCCCACAAACCCTCCTGTTTTTGGAACATGACTGGATTATGGAGCATTGAAGCTGATTTGTTAGGAGTGGGGGTCTAATTGGAAGAAGCAAGTCACTGTGGACATGAAGACAGGTTTATCTCTCTTCCTGGCTCTTCCTTTGACATACTCTACTTCTTGCGTGCCAAGACATATGCAGCTTTCCACCCTGTAGGCTCTTCCATCTTGCTACCAACTATACAAAGAATGAAGCATCTAAAATAGGAGCCTATGTAAACCTCTCTTCTTTAAGTTGCAGATGTCGGGTACTTTGTCACACTGGAATGACAATAACTAAGACAGAGTTTTGTATCAGAGAATCATTGTTGTGATTATCTAACCCTGTAGTTTAGAAGTCTTTAGAACTGGTTTGTGGGATAAGTTTAGAAAGGTTTGAGGATGGCAGAGAAACAGACCTACTATGCCATGAATTGAGCTTAATGAGATGTTCTAGTCACAGGTCAGAAAATCAATATGTTTGTAAAAAATAAAAAAAAATATAAAGCATATAGAAAAACCCAGGCTTAAGATATTTCAATTGGAATAAGGACTTCACTGGGACTCTAGACCAAGTGTGCCATGCTCTGGTTGAAAATTTGTCTATATTTTTCTCATGTCCTTAGATTTTGCAGGAAGCTTAGAGTAAACATAGTCAAGTAATGTGGCAAAGGAAATCACAAGGAAACCCAATGTGGAGGCTATGGTACGGGTTTTGTCAGCCAATTCTTCATTAAGAATCAAAAGTAAATACCACAACTGAGTGATTTAAGTGCTTTGAAGTTTACCAGAAATAAATCTACTGGAAATCTGGCCATATGATGTTTTGGTCAAGGAGTGGTTGTTGCTGAAAAGATTTTAAAAAATCAAATACTTTGATTTAGGACCAAAAAACAAAAAACAAAAAAAAAAAAAAACAAAAAAAAAGATGTCTCATGGCGTCCTGAAAACAGCAAGACTCTATGCTTCTCTATGCTTTCCCCTATGAAGTGAAAGACTGTTTTGGGAAGTGAGCCCCAAAACATCCAGCTCAAGCCTGGGGAATTAGTTCCCTAGGAGTTGCTTTACCACATATCCAGGTACGTGGGACCTTTTACAGCCACTATTTAAGGGGGCCTGGCCAGTGCTTGAGCTGAAAACAGAGCTTGACATTTTCCACATGGTACTGATTTTAGAGGCAGGTGGAATGCAAGAGTTGTGGGACCGGGGAGCCTTCCACCCAAATTTCAGAAAAAGATCTGGAGGCCAGTTAGTGTTCCTCTGAGAGAGCAGACTGTGAAGTTGTGAAAGTGAAGATAAAAGTACAGTAACACCCCCGGAAGTTGGAGATGCCAGGAACGTGAATATCTGCTGAAGAAAGCTGCACACAATGATTCAATTATACTTACTATGTACTTTGTTTGATTTCTTTCTATCCTTTTGTTCCTCTCTTTTGAAAAGGGAAGGTTTATCTGTGTGTGTCAGAGGCTTTTAATTTCTTTTTGATTATTAAAAGATATCAATTCTAGGAGTTTGCATTAAATCTTGAAGGAGACTTTTGATGCACTGTTCATGAAGAGATATGCATAAGTCTTTAGTGGACCAGGTGCAGAATGTTGTGGTTTAGGCCCAAAATAATCCCCATAACCTCATGTTTCAATGGCAACTGGATTATGGGGCATTGTAGCTGACTTGCTATTAGGAGCTGGAAGTCTGGTGAGAAGAGGCAGACTACTTAGGAGTGATTTGGAAAGGCACATATCCTTTCCCAGGCCCTCCCCTGACTTTCTGCTTCCTGGCTGTCAGTATAAGAATACCTTCCAGTCCCTTCCACCATGCTGCATACCACTAAGGGCTGAAACTCCTAAGGTGTCAGCCCAATAAACCTCTTCTCCTTCAAGTTGTGAATGTTAGGCATTTTATTGCAACAACAAGGAAAGTTTCTAAAACAAGCAGTTTCCTTCTGAAATATATTGACTTTTCCAGAGACTGGGAGGGGTTACAAGTCTTTCAGTATTCCCAAGGGTCCTGGTATTTGGCCCCTGTTTCCCCAATCCTGGGCTTTACTTCTGATTCACAGTTTCAAATGTTTACTGAGCTTCTGTGGCCTCAATAAATGAAACTTACTTCCTTGGACCTAGATAGTAGACTGTTCTTGCTTTTTATTTTTCTCATTCCATTTTCACCACTTTCTACTAATTTGTAAGTTATTCTTCCTACATATATTCTTTGTTTTTAAGGGCAATACTTAAACTTGATCAAGATCATTATTTCAAGGTGACACTAAGTATATAGAATTACTACAGTGGCACTTTAATTCATGTATCAGTCAGTATAAAGTAATAGAAAATATATCACTTCATTAACTAATATGGGCACATCATAACAGTACATGTACCTGATGTAAGCTAAAGCATAAGTTGCTGCTTACTATTCTCTAATTAAGTGAAATACCTGATAGAGTCATCATTCGATATGGAAAACTGCATTAGATTATTTTAATTGTTTCATTAAATTCATAAATACATGATGCCAGCTCCACACACATGGCCTGGTGTGGAGGGTTTGCAATGCATGATAAATTCATCCTTTCAGTTTAGCCTGAGCTGGCCTAGAACAGTGCTGCCACATTAGCTTGTCACCCCATCCATGCTGCACCACACTGGGGCCCCATTCCCCACCTCTGTGACCAACAGTGAGCAGTAGAGAAACATTTTATCATTTTAACCTGGATGGCAGCACTTGTCTCCCATCTGGATGTCAGTCTTGTCTTTAGTTTCTTCTGGATTATCAAAGGCCTTAGAAAACTTTAACATTCTTGTCTACTATTATTGTTGGTATTTCTTTAATTTTTTTCTCTCTTCTTTCCAGTAATTTTATCTCTTTATGTTTTATTAAAATCTATTAGAGGGAACCTGTATAACTCAGGGGTAGAATATTGTACTCACTGTGAAAGAGGCCCTAGGTTCCATTTTTAGAAGCACCAGAAAATTAAAAGTAAACAAATCAAATAAAACTTTTAAGGTTTTTTGAGAGGCATATGTGAGGAAAAGTATTTCACACTATTTTAGACAGATATGAAAAAGTACAGCTCATATAAAGTCTGTCATTTAAGTTATCAATATTTATTTCCCTTAATTCTCCTTAATGCAGAAATATTATTAAATAGTAATAGCTATTAATAATGCATCTGCTGTTTGGCCCCAGTTATCTGTCACCGACTGTAGCGTTTTTTTCCTATAATATTTGCTACATTTACTGTATTTCAGTAAATATGCAGACACCTTGGAAATGCATTTAAACATCAGTGATCATGCTCTGTATGCCAAAACTGGTAAATGAATTTTTAAACTCTAGAAGACTCTTCTTTTCCATTTTAAACAGTCTCTTCCTATTTGTTTTGATGTATTTCTTTTTCATATCTAGTTAGTTCTTTGAGAATAACATCATGAGCTCCTCTTATTGTAATATTACAGTTTCTTTTTCTGTCCTGTCAGTTTGGGAAGTTTATATTTGTAATTCCATTAAGAAGTCACTGGAATCCCAGTGAGATAATTTCAATCTATCACGTACATTGCAAACCATGACAAGGATAAAGACACTAAGACATATTTATAGATATGGACAGCCAAAGGGTCCTAATTCTGGTCCAGGTGAGGATTCATAGAACAAAGTTCTCACCCCTTTACCTAACACAGAATTTACTAACTTGTAAAGAAGAAAGTGGCATAAAAATGAGTGATAGTGAGAATGGTGGAATTATGAGTCTGTGAACAGGCTTAGCTGGGAGTCTGAAGAGCATCTCTGAATTATGCAGAGAAAAGAGTAGGCAGAAAGACCAATCTACATAACTCAGCTGAAGTAGCATTTACACATTTAAGAGGCTGTTGCTTTAGTTTTTGATATATAAATTTTTGTGCCCTGGGAAGTCAGAGATTTTGTTTTTTGCACCAAGGATTGAACTCAGGACCTCAAGTTTATGAGGCAAGTGCTTGAGCCACTGAGCTAAATCTTGGGCATAGCCTTTCAATTTTAAGAATCAAACCCAGTGGACTTTCCTGGAGCTATGTGGCTCTGGAATACTGCTGTGCTTAATTGTTTATAGGGAGACACAAGGTGAAAAAACTGTTGGTGGGCTTCAAAGATTACGCATTAATACCTCAGCTAGCCCCTTTTACACTGCATAGAGCCAACTAAAGGGAAAAAATAACTTAGCCAGATATACACATTTCAGTATATGGAGATAGGGTTCAGTTTAACTAATGGGGAGGCAATTGTTTTGTATTCCAGAAAAGCCATCCGAATGGTCTTCTACACCTTTTATCTTTCCTCATATATTTTATTTTTTAATTATTGACCATGCAGTCACCTTCCTTGTGAGTTGCTCAAGTTTAGGTCTGAGTCTGGATTGACCCCAAGACATTTAATAAACTGGAGCATGATAAACACGTAGTGTACCCCATTACTGTACTGAGGTGGACCAGCACTCCCAGGATTCTCACCTGTGTGCTTCTGTCCCCTTCCTTGCACTGTAGGGTCATACTAAACTTAGGGTCTGTTCACACCATCCGGCATTATTCACCTCACCTGCTTTGAACTCCCTCTTTCTCCACTATGTAAGTAATGTTTTCAACCCTTGTCTTCTTGTTGCTATTGTTGCTTTGTTCCTATTAAAATTTATTCATTATTCCCAAATGTTAAGCTTTATTTGATTCTGACTGTGACATCCAAGCCAGGACACATATATGAGATGTGATCAAAATACATGGTGAAAGCCCAAATTTAAAAATTTACAGTAGGGGCCAGGGATTTAGCTCAACAGTTTAAGTGCCTGCCTGGCAAGCATGAGGTTGTGAGTTCAATCCCTAGTACACACACACACACACACACACACACACACACACACACACAGAGTTACAAAGACACATTTGCATTTATTCTCCTCAAACACACTTACCTCAAAATTATTGCTACTTTCAGAAGCAGTTTTGATTGTATCATTAGAAGATGTGATAAAAAATGGCGGTGAATGCTGCTGTTGAGTGTCCTTCCCTAGAAAAGCAAATTGATAAAAACAGTAAGGTGTCCTTGCCCACTTTTTTCAGTGGCTTTGTTATTATGTGGCAATTGGTTCTTATTAAGGTAAAAAATGACTGTGAAAGGCTTTATGTTTGGAATCAATTCAAGAGACTGAGTCAGCCACAAAAGCATAGCTAAAGACACTCATGCAAGGACATCTGAACTGTTTCAGACCATGGCGAGAGATGAAATAGGTGTGCCTGAAGTTAAGGGAAGTATTTTGAGTGGAATTAAAGGCAAGCAATCATTTACTGTGGGGCTGGGGATTTAGCTCAGCAGCATAAGCACCTGCCCTGCAAGCAGGCAGTTGCGAGTTCGATCCCTGGTACCGATAAAAAGGAAAAAAAGACAAAAAAAAATCATTTACTATTAAAATTTTAAAAAATATAAATACTGTAGTTTCCAATCACAACTTGTGGGTCTAAATCATTCTGTGAATCTCTGTTTAGAAAATCCCCACATTTCAGACTTTCATATTGTAGCTGTATCCTGCCAGTGTTCTGTTAGACTTACTCTATGTATCTCTGTGTCTTTGTCTATCAATACTTTACGCACCTCAGGATCATTTTCAATTGGCTTGAGATACATTCTTTAGAATTTCATTCAGTAAGCAATTGCTTATGCAAATGCTCCTATTTAGGTTTGATCTTAAATGTGTATTTTATCATCCTCTTAAAAGTACTTTTCTCTGTTTACAACTCTTGATGGACACTTATCTTCTGAGGACATGAGGAAGACATTTCACTGTCTCTACCTTCTGCTCTTGCTTCTCTGAGGTCAGTCACCAGCACCCTGCTGCACTTGCTGGGGAATTTTGTTTTGGCTGCTGTCAAGTCGCTCCATTTGGTTTTTATTAAGGTTTAACTACAGTGATGATTTCTCTCATCTCCTTCTCTGTCTTCTTCTTGCTTTGGATTTTGGGGATTTCTCATTCTGAAAAGTCTCATATCTCTCAGCAGTTCTAGAAATTTCTCAGCAATCATCTCTTCAAACATTTGTCTTTTCTATTGTCTCTTTCACGTTTTTCTGTAATTCCAATGAGCTGTAGATGAGACTGACTCATAGTTTCCTCTATATTACTTAAATTTTTTTAAAAAATATTTTTCATATCTTCTGCCAGCTGAATTTTTTTCTAATTTATTGTTTTTAACAGTGCCTTTCTTCTTACTCATATTTTTAAGGTTGCAAATTTCACTGTCTATTATACACTTTTATTTTATGCCCTTTTCCTGATAATTTAATCTCTGGTGTATTCAAGGGTCCCTGACGGTCCCTCTGGTCCCATATATGGTGTTCTACATATTTTGAGCTTTGTATGTGGGAAGTCTTTGGAAGTAACAGATACCAAAATACATTGTGACTACTCTCTTATGTAAGGGAGTCTTACTTTTGTGGCTAATGCTCTGAAATGAAATCTGGTGATGTCTGTCTACTTCATGCCAGCAAGTGTTATAAAGGACTCTTATTTTTTTAAAAACTCACAGTACTAAAACTCATTGTGAGTTTCCTTAGCCTTGTTTTGTACATAGTCTTTTCTGGCCAAACACTTCAACTGAGCATATCACCTGTTTCCTGCTGGGTGCCTGAGAGACAGCATGTATGTAAAGTGCCTTAATAAAAATCACTTAATCATGTTACTGAGATCACTTTCCACTTAGAGAAATTTTCAGATAACTTCAAGGTAAAAAAAAAAAAAAAAAAAAAAAAAAAACTATAGGGATGAGAGGCATGTGCTTCAAAAAAGATATGTGCAGAGAGAAGAGCAAAACACTTTCAGTGCCCACATTCATTATTCCATTATTCTGTCTTGCTGAAGAAGCTGAGATGTCTCTCCCCACCACTCCCACACTCCCACACCCCATACTCTTTTCCAGCACATTTTATCAGCACCCTCTTGCCTTCCTTCTGTCTTACCTTGGACAACCACAAAATGAGGGAGGCGCACAAAACCACAGCTCCATGCTCAGTCTTGTTGTCCAAGAGAGGTCCTGCCACCATCCAGGTGTCCTGTAGTTCATTTGTGCTCAGGAACTGGTCCAAGGCATAGACTCCAATCTCAACAGTCACCTTCCTGTTCACCACAAAGCTGAGACCCGGCTTGGGCCAGTGATAGTTGGCCACTGCAGGGAAGTAAACCCTGGGAGAGAAAGAAGACATTGAGTTATGCAAGCTAACTGAGTGCCTGCTGGATGCCTGACCCAGTGCAAGGACTTTTGGATCAGTGGCGAGGCTGCAATCCAACTACTGAGCAAGAAAGGTTTGGATTTGTGTCTTGGCTCCCATGCTCTCTGATAAGGATCCTGGAGGAGATGAATTCACTTCCCTAATCTCAGTTTTGTCGTATGTAAACAGAAGAAATATCAGCACCCATGTCAGCTTAATGACATCTTAATGCATGTTTGTGGCAGTGTGCCATTCCTAGTTTGGTGACAGTAAAGAGAAGATGAAATAGTATTTTTTGGAATGGTATATTTACCATTGTAATATTTGTTATAACATATGGAGCTGAATATAGTGCTTTTCAGAGATATTAAAGTAGTTTCTCAAGACTCCTTGTGGTAAGTGTTGAGGGAGACATGCTAGTTTCTGTTTGTAGACAGTGGAAGTGATTATCTTCCAGATGACACAAGAATTGCGATAGTGTAAGAAATTGTGATAATGGAAATGCATTACTTAGAAGACTGAATGCTTAGAGGTTTAGGTCTTTCACATACACTTCAGTGTTTCCAGTTAGTGTTAACGAACTAATGGGGTTAACAGTAGCTATTACTTAAACAGAAGCATATAGCATATGAAAAGTTTAAATGAGACTTAAGAGAAAAAAGCAATATTACAAGTGGATTTTGTTTGTATCATGAGTTGAATGAAACATTAAGAAGAACACATACTATACCACAAAGCCACAGTGATAAAATCAGCATGGTACTGGCAAAGAAATAGACCTAAGGATCAATGTAACACATTAGAAGTACAAACACAACTACAGAGACACTCAGCCACCTGACATTTGACACAGGGGTTAAACATGTTCACTGCAAGAAGGACAGCCTCCTTAATAAATGGTGTTGGAAAAATTGGCTTTGCACATACTGAAGACTGAAACTATCATGAATATCACCATGCACCAAACTAAAGTCTAAATGGATCAAAGATCTAAGTATTAAAATAGCAACACTAAATCTACTGGGAGACAAGGTAGGTAGAAGTTTTGCAGACATGGGATAGGCAGAGAATTCATGAACAAAAAGGAAACTACATGTGCAACACTTCAAAAATCAATAAAGGGGATCTCATATTATTGAAAAGTTTCTGCACTTCAAAAAAAATAATCGAGTAAAAAGAAAACCCACAGAATGGGAAAGAATTATAGCCAACAACCCCTCAGACAAAGGACTTATATCCATAACATATAAAGAATTGAAAAACATCAAGCCCCCAAATTCAAAGACCCCCTACAAAAATTGGCATCAGAGATGAATACACATTTCTCAGATACAAATGGCAAATAAATACATAAAGAAGTGTTCACCATCACTGGTCATTCGAGAAATGAAAATTAAAACAGCATTGAGATTTCATCTCACTCTGGAAAGAACATCTGCCATCAAGAAATCAAATGAAAACAAATGTTGGCAAGGATGCGGGGGGCGGGGGGACTTCTCCTCTATTGGCAGAGTGTAGATTGGTGCAACTACTATGGAAATCACTATGGAGATTTCTCAGAAGCCTAGGATTGGAAGTTCCATTCAACCCAGCTATTCCCCTTCGGGGTATTTTCCCAGAAAACCTGAAAAGGCCATGTCACAGAGAGATATGTGCACCTATGTTCATAGAAGCACAATTTGTGATAGCTAAATTTTGGAAGCACCCAAAATGCCCATCAACTGCAATGTGGATGAAAAAGGCGTGGTATTTTTATACAATAAAAATAGAATAAATAAATTTTATACAATGCCTATTCAGCTATAAAAAAGGATGATCTTGAGGCCTTCATAACTGAAATGGAGGCAACTTGAGACTATCCTCATGAGTGAAATAAACAAGAATCATATTTATAAATATCACAGTGTGTCTCTGTTGTAAAAAGTAATAAGAACTGTAGGAGTAATAAAACCTAAAATGTGTAATTGCTATTGTAAAACAGAGGAAAAGAAATTGCTCTAAAGGGTATAACTGCATGTACGTTTAAGTGTGTAAGATAGATGATCATATTATGAAGTTTTTGTTGGATCTTTGAGAAGAACTGTTTGCAGTCTCACTGTTTGAATGCTTTAACTTTGTAGCTTGAACAACTATTTCTAAAATGACAGTATGTAATTTATCAACTAGTATTTCTTATTGTTTATTTTATTTATTTTTTGGAATTCTGTATTGTTGCTAACCTTTTTTCTGTTTTGCTTTTTTTCTCTTTAAGTAAATTTTTTTAAAAGGAACACATGTAGAGAATTGAACAAAAGTGAATAAACAGTAGATTTAGATAATATGAAACAAGATCAACCTTGCTAGATGTCATCATGGAATAGTGTGTATAGAAGGAAAAATATTTTCATTTTTTTGAGATGTATAATGAAAAATTTAAGGCTGAAATCATCTGAAATAATGGATTGAAAATACCATAAATACAGGAAAAGGGGAGAGAACAGTTGAAGTGAATCAAACAACACTGGCTGAATATGGGTTATAGGAGTTCCCTAATTTTAGTGTATATTTGAATATTTTTATTCAAAACATCTTTTTTCTTTGTTAAAAGCACTCAGTCAGTATCTTACTCTTGTTCATTCACACTGATTTTCCAAAAAGAGAATAGCAAGTAGAGATGGTGTGGGGCCCTGTCTGGGGGACCCAGTGTGGGGAGTTTGGAGGGCGAGGCCAGGCCTGGACAGCCAGAACCTCTCACTCACCACCACAGGCTCCTCTCTGAGTCAACCACTTCCTTGTGTGGGGCAATGGAACTAATCTGAAGTGTCCAGAGTCTCTGTTTGCTGGGGTCTTAGAGTCAGGGAAAGACACATGGAAGGGTTCCCCTGAGCTACCTGGAGGAAACTCTGGGACAGACAGGGAACGGTCTGTTCTGGGTTCTCCTGCCTGGTATCCCCATTAGGTTCCTGGTGGGGCTTGTACTGAGGCTGGGCAGCCTGACCATGGCAGAGAGAGTGCTGCAGCCTCTGTCCCTGATCCTGAGGCCGCCTGCTGTCTGCAGTCATCCTTTACCCATCGCCACTTCCCCACTCAGCTGGAATTGTCTCTCTTCCCAGCATGTGCCAGGTTGGTGACTTGAGAGAGCATTGACGGAAAAGGTAGATGGGCAGACAGAAGTGAGGAGGAAACAGTCAAGCCTCAGCATCTCGGGATAAAAGATCAACGCCCTGGCCCAGAGACTGGTACGTGCCATAGACATAGGAAAATGCAGCATCAACTCTTGAAGGAATCAGTAATCCTTCTAAGCTAAGAAAGAATAAGTAAATGATGGGTAAAGAGGAGACAAGAAAATCGTAACTAAATAGGTAAAAAGGAGCCAATAAAATGATAACAACAATGTGGTACTATTAACAATACAGCAACATCCATACCCAGGTGAAAACACCCAAGGCGTTCCATATCATCATTCCTTTAGTGAAATTTAGGCTTCTTTCCTCCCAAATCCATCATACTCAAAGTTACTCAAAGTCCATAATTTGGCTTAGTTGGGAAAGTGCAGGAATTATATCCTGAAATGGAGGAACAGGTTGAGAAAATTCAAAGAATGCTTAAAGTATTTGTTGGGAGAAAAGACTGGGCTAATACCTGTAATATGGGCCCATACACTCCCCCAGAGCAGGCCCCATTTTCTTCAGTTTCCACTTCCTCAAAAGAAGCACAAATGTTCCATATTACAGGAAATAAGGTGCTCCTTTCTCTTCAGGGCCCATATTGTATTTCTTTGAATACATACCATTTAATTATTGCCTAATGCAACTCTTCATGTGCCTCTTATTAAATAGTCCTAAAACTTATTCTTTTGGGGGGAGGAATATGGGTATTAGGAAACCTGCAAGGTTATATTATATAAGTAGAGTGGGTTGGGATCCTAAACTCTGCTTCAGGAACGTCTTCCAATCCAGTCCACTAACAGTAGTAGACAGTAGACAATCTTGCATGGAGTGGGGCCCATGTAGGTGGTTAAGCTGCCCCTTCCCACTTCAAAGGCAGGGACTTGGAGGCCATGACTTCCTACAGTGTACCCCCCCACCCCATCCTGATATTCCCAGCATAGACCAGTTAAATACTTGACTGTGATCTCTGCAGCGTCAGTGTAGGCATGACAGTATTCCTCTCCCCTCCTTCTGGTTCTTCAGTACAGATCCTTGTACCTGAATTTCTACACATAGGAATGTTAATTCTTTCTCAGATGAAAGTTCATACATTTGAAAGTTACTCCCCAGTTCAACTGTGTAAAGCTCTGGGAACTCTGACAGGTGAATTTCTAGAGGCTTTGCCCTTATGAAGAGATTATTATTATTAGCATGGAATGGATTTGTTTTGGGAAGAATTGATGTGTCATAAAATGAATTGGGGCCCCACTCTCTTCCTCTTCTGCCATGAAATGACCTATAGAAAAGGCCACTCCAGATTTCAGCTCTTCAACCTTGGCCTTCCTAGCCTCCATAAAAGTAGAAATGATCTCTTTTTCTGATTAATCACTCAGGCTCAGTTATTATGTTATAATTACCAAGTAAATTAAAATGTTTGCCATCTTGACAGTTGGCCATCTTGGCAATACCTCCCAAGCTCTGATTTTATTCTACAGTCTCCACTTCCATGGCTGCCATCATAGTCACAGATGCTGGCATCTGTGACCTGAACCACTGTAGTATTTTCCAAAAGGTTTTATTCTCGGTCCCTCTACTGACCATTTTCTACACAGTAGGTGATCTTAAAACATGCATTCAACATATCACTTTGTTGGGACTGTTGAGATGGATATATTTCACATGTGTGGAGCCAAAAGCTCAAGGGCCTGGGCAGCAGTGCCTGAGGGCACGCGACACTGGAATGAACAGCTGTTCTAGCCCTGGGAACACAGGAGAACACAGGGTGTGGGAAGCCAGCTGGTTAAGCAAAGCAATATGGTGTGGAAAGGTATAAACACAT